TTAAAAGAAAATATCTAAGACCTATTATTTAATCCTATAGATGAGTATATGGACATCTCATGAGAATGACTTGTATAATATACAATTATAGTAGAATCCCTCTGAAATTATCTGAATGGCACAGAGAGTTAGTCAATTAAACGGAGTAGTAGCCTACTAAACATGTTGACACAGGATGTTTTATTGAAAGAATGGAAAGTATGAGGTAATCTCTGTATATTAAGTAGAGGTTGATCAGAAAAACCTCTATATAATGGCATATGGATCCTTTACATACTATCTCACTGCCACTAGAGTCTACTTTTTAAATTTTTCTTCAATATAGTTGGATATTTATGTAATCTCTCCCTCTCTCTCTTTATTTTTATTAGCATTTATTTGATGCAGAATTTGCTCCCAGGACGTATGTTTTTGTTTCTTCAGTTTCTTCTGCAATATTTTTTTCTTCTGGTTTAGGAACAATCTGCTCTTTTTCAGTAGGACCATCTCAGTGTGGCAAGGAGACCTCATGTATGGGATAATCCATCCACGAGCTCTGTAAATTCTGCACTACATCTTGGGGCATTGTTCACCTGGATGTGTTCAATGAACAGAGAATCTACATCTAAACCCGTAAGTTCAGTATCACTCTCTGCATTTTTAAGCATGTGCAGCACAAATTCAGCACTCTTTTGGGCCACTGACCCTGCATCTCCAGGAGTACTGTTTGGCCTGGGCACACCTACCAACTCCATCACTGTTAACAAAATGGCATACATTACTTCTATAAAGTGACATCTTCAGATATGCATACCCTTCATGGCCTGGGCAGTTTCATGAGTGTTCTTAAAGTGAATATGAAGATTTAAACCTCTTGATTTGCATGATTTTGTGGGGTTTTCTGGATCAAGTAAATAGCAAACCATTTTCAGAGCTCACCAAAGGCTGCTTGCAGGAAGAGCTACAATTTCTCTCTTAAAAATAATAATCCTTACAGGATTTCTAACAGTTAATTAAGTTTAACTATAATCATTCACTCACTCTTCTAACCAGTATGTATTAACTATTACACAAAAGACATTAACTAAAAATAAACTGTGCTATATACAGACATAAATGGAACAGAACTTTTCCCCTATTAAATTTCTTATCCAAACAGGGGTCCTGTTAGCATCTCAGAAAACTGACCTAGATTTTCCAGAGCAGGTAAAATGATTTAACACCCAGATAGGAAAGAAAAAAACTATTCTCGAAATTCATTTATTCCTCTAACTATATAGGAATTGGTCCAGGCAGAAAGAAATTATGTTCCTGCACAATTCTGGTCTATTTTCCAGGTAAGAATACACTACTTTTCCTTTTTGTTTTGTTTTAGGTTTAATTATACAACCTCATCCTCTGAGATTAAACAGATCACAATTTGTAATAGCTATCCTAATTTAAAGTATGTAAATTAGTATATTCTCTTTTAAGTTAATATATTCTAAATGTTTTTGTTATAATGTGTATTCATGCTCTTTCCTGTACATTAAGACTATAGCAATTTCACAATACTTCTGAAGTCTGGTAACTATATACAACGTAAGTAAATGTGATAATGGATTATTTAATATTTACCTTTCTCTCTTTAACAACTCTTTAAAAAATAAACATGGTGCTAGTAAAATAGGTCAAATCCCATAATTGTCTCTTTAAAAAAAACCTGTTGTAAAACAGGCATAAGCCAAAAATAATAAAATCATAAGAAATTCATCTAGTAAATGTTATTTTCTTGCATTTGGGTTCCTAGCAAGCATTATTAATTGTTGTCATCATTACTGATAGCTGAAAAACTGCCTCCCTACCACATCCTGATTAATTTTAATTTTCTTCAAATTACTTCTTCAATACCTAGATTCCCCTAAGTTTTGGCTACCTCTTAAAAGATGGGTATAATTTTTTCTTATATCGATAGCTGAGAAATTAGGTTTCTGCTACAAAAGCTAACATGAAAAGTGAGTTCATACCACAATTCAATTTTCCTTTTTTAAAAATTAAACTATAGTTGACATACAATATTATGTTGAATGCCATAAATGTTATTCAACATTTACATACCTTACCAAAGTGGTCACTGATATTAATCTAGTAGCCATCTGTCACCTCATAAAGGTTGTTAAGATACTATTGACTCTGTTCCCTATGCTGTACATTACAGTCACCATGACTTATTTTACACCTCTTACATCCCCCTTCACCTTTTTCACCCACCTAATTAAATTTTCTTTTTTTAAAATCTGACATAGGAAATAACTATTACAGAAACAAGGTGTAGTAGGAAAAGAATTGTTGTGCTAAAAACTTCAGAAGAGGAAACTCAACAAAACTCATATTTCATTCCAAATTTAAAAGTATAAAGGAAATACATATATTGGTATGGATTTTTTAAAGAAATATATAAATTAGGGAGATGTTAATTTATTCCAAAATGGTACACTAGATAATTATCTAAAATCTTTAAAATATTTCAGTCTTCATGAACTTGAAAACCAAAAATTTGATCTGCAAAAAGGTAATTTTCAAAAAGTTTATAAAAATATTTCTATCAAGTAAAACAAAGTCACAAACCTAGACGAGCCCTCTGAGATCAGTTAGCAGAAAAACTTCATTTTATAGACGAAGAAACTGAGTCCTAGAAAATAATCTACTGAAGGTCACCCGCTTTGAAGATACAAAATCAGGGTCTATATTCAATTCTAACACAATCAAAAGTTCATGTTTTCTCTGTACTATGATATGGAAGAAAAAAAATATATATATATATATATATTTCAAATAAAAATAAGAGAGACAGGAGGTAGAAAATCTTTGTTATCAAAAAGCATAATGATGGCTGAGATTCTCCACAAATCCAGTGGTTTATCCACTACATAACTCAGAGTAAGGTTTTCAAAATCATTGGATGCCACAGTAAAATTTAACTCTAGTAATAGTTCAATTAAAATCTTGGTTTTATAATACAAATAATAGTTAAAAATCATCTATATTTATTGGATTTTTATAAATGTAATTTATTAATAAACAGTTGTAGAGAAGGAATGCTAACAAATGTTATTTTCCATTTTCCTCCTATAGCCATTCCCTTACCTCACAGTCACTTTTCTAGCAATTTTAACCATTGGAGTAAGAAATATGCAAATGAGCCCTGGCCGGTTTGGCTCAGCATTTGAGCGTCAGCCTGCGGTCCAGAGAGACCTGATTCGGTTCCCACTAAGGGCGCGTACCTCAGTTGCAATTTGTCCCCGGCCCTGGTTGCTTGTGTTGGTGGCAGCCACTCGATATGTCCCTTTCACGTTGATGTTTCTCTCTCTCTCCCTCTCTCACCCTCCCACTCTATCTAAACAAAAAATGGAAAAATGTCCTCGGGTGAGGATAAAAAAAATAAATATGCAAATGAGAAAAATAAGCTTCTAAGCTTAAATAAATATGTTTTCATTAAAAGGTTATCAAATATACTTTTTGACTTGAGAAACATATACCTCCAAAGGAAAATGACAATTCAAAATATACTCCTTTATCTCATGATCCACTTAAAATCTGTTTCATTTTAAATTTTAATTTTTCTCTATTGACCTTTAAAATACCTTTATAAAAAAAAATGTAACATAGAACTTAATAATTTTTCCTAAAATCCCGTAGCTTTGAAAGCCTTTTGCATTTACACCTAATCTATGTCATGTAACTTTTTTTTTTTTTACTTCCACCTTTCAGTAGGTTGGTTAGTTCATAATGTATTCTTTAGAAATTTAGAACTGGTGTGGCTTCTCTATCCTAAGAATAATTGTATTGTAAAAATACCTTTCAAAACAAATATAAAGTTAATTTTTACATATTTTTATCATTAATTACAACCCAAATTTAATGAGCTAATTCTTTAACACATCAGGTTAACAAACAGACTTCAGATGTATAACACAGCCATGAGTAACATCCATTGGGGAGAAGCTTCAGATATGAGGATGAAAGTTAGCTTTTGAAGCTGTAACTAATTTCAAGAAGTCTAAGTTTGTTTGTTTTTCAAACTTCAGTGGCTACTCCAATATAATGTTCAAATATATCACTACAGAAAAGCCCAAGTGTTAACATGTATGAAACTTCAACATGACATTGGCTTGACATCCAGCCATCAGAACTCCACTTGCTATGTTTGGACCTGATCTACCTCCCAAGCTTCCCAGATCTTTTGGACTAAAAATGGCCCAGTTACTGCTGGAAAAAGTGTAATAATCCTTTTATCACTGAGGTACAAAACAAAATCACTCAATATGCTGACTGGGGAAGAAAAAATACACTGCAAAGCAATGTTACAAATCTATTATAAATATATTTTAGAACTTTAATGGTGATCATGATAATGATGAAAATTATTAAAACTAACATTTACTAAAATTAAGTATTTAATCCTCACAACAACAACATTTATGGCTGAGAAGTTAAGAAACTAACCATGATCACAGAACTCGTAAGTGAAAGAGCTAGGACTTAAAATCAGGTCTATCTGACTCTAGAACCCACACTCTTAATTTACTGTATTTTCTTTGCCTATCTTCCCTCCCCATTCAAAAACATTACTGAACACCTACCATAACCACCTGACAGTAATTTAAATTCCACAATATGTAAACCAAACATGATTATTAAAGCACCAATCTAGAATCTCTCAACCCAAACAAAAAGTAAAGCATGTGCTTTATTTTTAAAAGATTTCAAAAGTCACTATTTCATTCAACAAATGTTTAAATAAAAATTTGCTGTGTGAGAAGCACCATGCTAGATGCTGAATAAATAAAAACATGAATAAGACACGGTCTTTCCTTCAAGCCCCCAAATTATATATATAATTCAGTACTGAAGAGCATTTTTACTTTTAAATCACTATTTAATTTTATAAGGCAACATTGCTCCTATTACCAAAATTCTAGTGTACCTTAGTAATAAACAGTTAAAAATGTGAAAGGTTACAGAATCTGCCATTAGCTTACATTTTCGATGACAAATGTCCACTCTTTATCTTCAAATTCCTCTGCATGAGGATCCTGCAATAAAAGCAAAGTTATAAAGTTGATATATATATTTCTTTTCTTAAATTGATTTTAGAGAGGGGGGAAAGGAGAGAGAAACATCAGATGTTGGAGAGATACATCCATCAGTTGCCTTCCATATATGCCCCACCCTGAGAATCAAACCCATAACCTTCTGGTGCACAGGACAATGCTACAACCAACTGAACCACACTGGCCAGTGCTGACATACATACATTTGTTTGTGTGTTGTTTTTGTTTTGTTTTTTTTTAGTATTTTTATTGATTTCTTTTTTAGAGAAAGAGGAAGAGAGAGAGAGAAACATTGATGTGAGAAACCTCAATCAGCTGCCTCCAGCAGGCCCCATACTGGGGATGGAGCCTGCAACCCAGCATGTGCCCTGACAGGGAATCGAACCAGAATTTCTCAGTCCATGGTACAACATTCAATCCACTGAGCCACACCAGCCAGGCTACATCTCTTTAATTCAATTAATTGATTAATAAATTGTGGACAGCCTTGCTTTTTAGCTTTACCAACTTTTTAGGCAGATGGCTTAGTCTTACAAAAACTTCCATAATTTCCCTAAATTTAAAGCATTATTTTATATTGAGAAATTCTCTATTTTACTTATATTAATGTATATATTCCAGCATTGCACAGATGAGAAGATAAAAAGAAACTTGATCAGAGACAGGTTACTTAGAGTGAATTATTAAGAACCACTTTATTTAGATATTATATGCTTCTATAAAGTCTCGCCCTCAATTTTATACATGTATTTTAAATTAAAAGTACCACTTGAGGCAAAGTTTTCTTCTGAGCAGAGATTATGTAAACATCTGGAATTTCAAAACACTGCAAAGGACTTTATAATCTATATAAAGTGGAAAATTGGTATGGCTATTGATACTCCCATTCCCTCTTCACTCAATAAGCCTGGAAATGCCTCAGAAACCTGAGAAAGAGTAATGGATCCTACAACCAAGTACAACTTAAAAAAAAAAAAAAATGAGGCACATTTTTGCAAGTATTTATTAGGTACTTATATAAGGGAATGTAGAGATGTAATATGGATTCAAACATAGTTGTCTGCTTTTGAAGAAAAGAAACTAATTTAAATAAATATGTAATGAATGAAATACATAGTTTCACCAAATACTGGAAAACAACACATTACTTTTTACAGAAATGAAGAGGAAAAGCTTTGAGAGAGAAAGCAACTAGGACAGGAAGGATGGTATAGGACTTCTAAAGATATTAGAATAAGTAAAGGCAACAGAGCATAAGACCAAAAAAAAAAAGGAAAAGTAGTGGGGTCGCATAATATGTGCAATTAAGTTAATCAAGTTCAATCCCATGAAGAGGGGCAGGGATGAAAGTATTGAGAGTGAGAGAATATTTAAACAGAGCAGGCTTTGGCTCAGCATTCCAATCTGAGAGTGAGTGAATGCACACAGATGGACAATATAGTCGGCCCTCGTTTATCGTGGTTAATCAGTTCCAGACTCTACCGCGATAAATGAATTTCTGCGAAGTAGGATTCTTTATTTATACTAGGCTCTGCTGTTCCCCTACTGCAGTGGTTCTCAATCTTCCTAATGCCGTGACCCTTTAATATAGTTCCTCATGTTGTATGTGGGCATATCTGCATGTGGGTGGACCCACCTGGAGATGGATGGAGGAGCGGTGTCTCGGTTCCTAAGACCACCGGAAAATATGTGTTTTCCGATGGTCTTAGGCGACCCCTGTGAAAGGGTCGTTCGACCCCCACAGGGGTTGTGACCCACAGGTTGCGAACCACTGCCTGGGTCTCAGGTCCCACGTGCTGTTCCTAGGGAAGCATCTTCTTCATGACAGATTCCACTTTAAAGTATTATTAATCTTCTTTTTCTATTGCCACAGTCTAGTTTGGGTCCTTACCACTTTATGCCCCTGTAACATTCTCAGTCTCTCTGTCCTCCAGTCAATCTTGTACACAGTGATTCTCCCAAACCACAGTTCTGACCATGTTAGTTCCAACTCAAATTTCTTTAATGGCTCCTATATACTATGGGATAAATTCAAAACTTCTTAGTTTTACTCCTTTCTATGTGTTTACTTTTTTTTTTTTTTACTGTAATAGCACAGTAGCAACTGATTCTAAGCTGTATTGAGGCAACTATTTCTATGAGTAAATTCACACAAAGAGGATAAAAACCTTTCAAACAGGAGTTTCTTTGGTGGTGATGGCTGGAGGAGGTAGAAAAAGGTAAAAGGAGAAGAAAGGTAGAGAGAACTCTATTTGATACTTGTTTGCCCAGCCTGGTCCTGCCCATGAACTAGGTTTATGGGCAGAGAATACTACAAATAAAGCTTGAAGAAACTCTTCTCTGAGGAATTTAGGACACAAACAGTGCTATTTTAGAGAAATAAAGTGTAACACAATTTTGAGGAAAAAGACATTTTACTACCCTTCCTGCCTGGCCTTCCCCCTCATTTTGTCCAGGCAAATGCAGCCTAGCTGCAGCACAGCTAGTACAATTAATAATAATCATAATCATAAGGAGGAGGAGGAGAATACAAAATACTTATTGAGCACACATTCTGCCCCAGTTACTGTGCTTTTTTAATCATCATAGGAACTTATGAAATAGGTACTATTTTATTCCCATTTAAGAGAACACAAAACTGAGACCTAAAAGATGTACTGTGTCACAGTGAACAACTAACAGGTATTGTAACTACGTTACAGTTCCTGGGCTGCCTTATTTTTAGCCACACTATTGGTTCAGTTTTACCACTATGTCCACAGGACCCCGAAAAGCCACACAGCGTCCTCTCAAGAATATGTAATGAATAAATTAATAAATATATATCTTATAAATTAACAAATATTGAACAGTGCCTTACATATTACACATTAATTCTCAAAGCAGATGAAACATTATTTTCAAACACCAATGATGTATTACCCCTAAAAGAATAATTTCAGTGGGACCAAGGGACACAAAGTTAGTAAAAGAGCAACAGTAATGTTCATTATCAAGACACTTCAAAATGGTATATCTACACAAGTACTTATATTATTAATTAAACAAAAACATTTGTAATGAAAATTAATTTCAGCTTGAATCAATTAAGTCTTCTTTGCATCCTACTCTCTCTCTAGATCAGCAATTTTCAACCCCTATGTGTGAGAATTTTTAAAACATGCAATACCTGACTCTTTAGCCAAGGGCACTGACCTATTTTCCCTTAGACTACCCAAAGAACTTATATGCATATATGCAAAACCTATGGACACAGACAATAGTGCGATGAAGGCTGGGGGTTGGGAAAAGGATGAATGGATAGATGACAAAGGGGGATAGAAGGGAAGACATCTGTAATACTTTCAATAATAAAGATAAAGTTAAATGAATGACAATGGCCAACACAACAATAGCCATCTGGTGTGAATGAATCAAAATTATACCCATTATTTTGACAAAAAATATATTTTTCGGTGTGCCACAGAATTTTAGTAATTACTTTGTGTGTGCCATGAGATGAAAAAGGTTGAAAATCACCGCTCTCGAGTCTCCTTTCCTACCACTGAAGTAAAGAGAACAACTGAAAATGGCTTCAAGAGACTTTTTCCTTCTCAAAACGCCAAAGAATTTTTATTCATTTACTGAAACAAATCTTTTCAATTTAATTCAGATTTCCAAATCAAGCATGCAGGCTAAAAATAAATAAATTTCTAGTTAAATCACAGAAAAATAAAACATTGGTAATTTCTTTAAAATGGACCTTGTCTATGGGCACCTCTGAGAATCCTATACTTCAGACAAAAAAGATAGTCTTTTCTTATTTGCAAATTTAAAGATTAAGTGAAATGTAAGACTTTACTAGAGTAAAAATTTAAAAAGGGGAAAATATGAAAAGTTTCCACTTGAATATTTTCAATGATATTCTAAAAAAAAAAAAAAGATCCAAAAATTAGCATGCTTGTTTTACTTTCTCTTTTCTATCATAATTCTGGTAAGATGGGAAGTCAGGAAGACAGAAAATGTTGACTGAAAATATTTTTAAATATTTCAAATGGTCACAGGTTGCCTTATTAGCACAAGTGATACAGCAACAGGGGAGGAAGAGGTATTTGGGTTTTTTTTCTACACACTATAACACTCAAAATCATAAAAGTTCAGTGATAAGGATATGCTGAACATTCTCATCAGTACTTGAAAACAACACTTATCTCCTAATCCTCCAAGTGACATACTTCAACAGCCACTTTCAACCCAGAATCACCCAGTGCACAGTCTTCCCCTAAACACATGACTGTCAGCTATTTATCAGCTCTATTCTAACCCCTTCTTCTCTCTCACCCTTTTTTTAAAAAGTTGTACAATTATGCCCATTCATTTACTTTACCAATATAAACAACAGACTAAATCAAAACACTCAAAAGACTACTTAAAAGTCTTCCTCAAGAAAGAGATCTTGCTGTTATTTGTAATCTATATTCATAGCCATGTTTATTATACAGAATAGGCAGTACAACATAGAATAAAGAACAGGGCTAAAGCACAGTGTGACTGGGCAAGTAACCTTCTTTTCCAATCTCAGTTGCCTTGATAATACAATGGAAATCATCATAGAACCTTAGAGTTGCTGTAAGAATCAAATGAAATACTCTAAAGGTATCACAGTTAACTTATAAGTTTTCTTTTTTTTTTTTTTCTCTTTTATCCTCACCCGAGGACATTTTTCCATTTATTGTTCAGGTAGAATGGGAGGGAGAGAGGAACAGAGAGAGAGAGAGAGAAACATCAACGTGAAAGGGACACATCGAGTGGCTGCCACCCGCACGACAAACCAGGGCCGGGGACAAACTGCAACCGAGGTATGTGCCCTTAGCGGGAACGAAACCCAGGTCTCTTTGGACCACAGGCCGACGCTCTAACCGCTAAGCCAAACCGGCCAGGGCAACTTATAAGTTTATTGTATCATTCCAGTAGGAAAAATATGGATTAGAGGAGTTTAATAACAGGCTTTCAGGACCGTGGGCTGAAAGGCAATAGGATGGTTCTGGTCCTCCTGGAAAAAAAGAAGAGGAGCTACTGTCTTACCCCTTATTTCACCCTAAGCAAACCAAGCATGGTGTTTATATGATAAGCATATTCAAGTAATGTTATAGTGCCAATAACACTAATATCAAAACTGTAAAATATAAAATGTTAAGAATGTTTTGTAAAATAGAATAAATGAAACAGAGCATTTAAAAGTAGTATTCCAATCATGGGTTAGTACATTAACATTCATTGTATTGTTTTGTTCTACTGATCTCTGCAGTAGTTCCTGAATAACTGAATTAATAGAATGGGTCACAAAATCAAAAGCAACTTTTTAATACAGAGATTTCACACTCTAAGCCATATAACAATGCTCTACTTAATTAATGTCCTGAAATATTTAGTGTATTTTCACAAACTTTATGTTACTAAATTATGCTTAATGAGATGTCCTTCCTCCCATTCTTCTGCAAAAGTAACTTCAATACAATTGGAATGATTGAAAGAAGAAATAAAGCATTCCTTTTCTAATTTCACCATTTTCAAAGAGGCTAAAACTGAGACACAATTGTCCTCATCATTTTGAGGGGAGGGAAATAGGAAAGTATATATTTTAGTGCTTCATCACCATATGTGCAAGAAATACATTATAATGTTTCCAGAAATATGGAAAACTTTCAAGAAAAAAACATGTATAGAAAACAGACTGGTAGGTATATGCACATCTGTTTTTGGATTTACATTTTGAATTTACAACTAGAATTTTGCTTTTAAGCTATAGTATTTATAAAATATTAATATCAATAAAATATTTACCAAATATCAATTTAAAACTTATCTTCTAATACTAACATCACTAAAATATTTATCAAATGCTCATTTTAAAACAAATCTTATTAGTCCAATAAGCGTAACAAAATGAGGTTCAGAACTAAAAATTCCATAAGCCTCAACTTTCCACAGGAAAACCACAAATTTCCTATGGATAGAACATAGGAAGTAGTAACAGAAGTATTCCAACTGATCTTAACCATAACAAGTTCAAAAGGACTATCAAATTATTCTGACTTTATAGACCCTGATGCATTTGCATTGTTAATAATTAACTGCTAAATCCCAAAAATTAATGCACATTAAGGCACTAGGTTGGATCCAAGTGTATAGAACAATGAATAGTGAAATACTGTGTCATTTAGAACCATGATTACATCATAAATTGTTTAACTTATAAAAATGAAACTTACCTTAAAAAGTGTCACAGTGATTTCAATGTTTTCAGGAACAGGCCACACTACAACACCACGATATGGATTTTTTATTCCAGGTTGCCAGCTATGAGCCTATCAGAATAAAAATAATGGCTTCAATATGACGTATAGGAAATGAAATGTTAATAATTTACAAAAATATATTGACCCTACTTAACTATCCATCAGATCTGTAGTCTCCCTGAAACAAAAATAACTAGTCAAATAAAACTTTTCAAGTATTAAACTTGGGACATGACAGTTATATCACATGATAGCTATTGATGATACCTGTAAACAAACCTTCACATTTTCTCCCACCAACACACACAAAATATGCAAAACTGAGATGTTTCATATTTTCAAAGGCTTCTATTTGTGATTGGATAACATTATATTTTTTAAATTATTTGTTATCAGGGAACTTAAAGGCACATTCAGTCATCAAAAGGAAAAAATAATTGCATGCTTTGCATTTAAATTCATTTTCCATTAGACTGTCAATGTTTATTTGGGATAAGTGAAAAAAGGAAAGCACCCCTGGCCAATTTGGCTCAGGGGTTAGAGCACTGACCTGTGGACCAAAGAGTCTCAGGTTCGATTCCTGTCAAGGGCACCTACCTCGCTTGTGGTTCAATCCCTGGCCCTGGTTAGGATCGGGTGGGAGGCAACCAATTGATGTGTCTTTCTCACCTCTCTCTCCCTCTCTCTCTTCTTCTCTCTGCCCCCCCCTCACTTACCCTCTCCCCCTCCCTCCCACTCTATCTTAAAAATCAATGAAAAAATATCCTCAGATGAGAATTTAAAAAAAGAAAAATAAAGCAGTTTTTGCAGTTAGCATTTCTAAGTGCTTATAATTTTAAATATTTTTTCCCTTGTAAATCTTGGTTATCAGTGTTCCCTAAGGAACCACCTCCAAATTTGGAAGTTACCACTATAGTTCTTCCTTTGTGGTAGCATTTCCAGCCAAAGCTGATGGAAGATAGATATGCCAAGACATCTCAACTAATTCTTCATCTCTAAGGACAGGACTGTCCATGGACATGCCATTAATGTGATAATAAAAGCTAACAGTTTATAGACTACTTTCTATATACCAATCCATGTTTGGAATTTACTTATGCTTAACTAATTTAATCTGCCTAAGAACCATATGAGGTAGCTACCATTCACTCCTTTGTCCATTCACTCACTCACTCGCTCATTTGATACTATCAGCCAAGCATTGTCTAGGCACTAGAGTAGAAAAAAAAATCTATCTGCCTTAGTAAAGTGTATAGTATAGTAGGAAGAGACAGACAGACAAAATAATTAAGTAAAATATATAATACGGTAGGTGGAGGTAAGTACTATGGAGAAAAATAGAAGTAGGGAAGAAGGATGGAGGGGGGTCAAGGGAAAGAAAAAATGTTCAATAAGGTAGTCAGAGAAAGTGTCATTGAGAAGGTAATAGTTAAGAGAAGGCCTTAAGAAGGTGAAAGAACCAGATAGTATGTAAATACATGAGAAGAGCTTTCTAGGGTGAAGGTACAGCAACTGGAAATGTGCTGAGGCAGTTAGATCACAAGAAAACCACTGTGGCTGGAGCAGAGTCATCAAAGATGAGAGCAGTAGAAGACAAGGCCAGAAAAATAATGGAGGATTCAATCACATAAGGATCTGGGAGGACACTACAAATATTTTGGCTTGTGATTTGAGGGAGAAGGGAAGCCACCAGAAGGTTTTAAGATGAGAAGTGATTATCTAAATTATGTTTTAACAGACTCACTCTAGCTAATGTATCAAGAAGAGGCTCCAGGCATAAGAGAGGATACAAGGAGACCAAATAAAAAGCTACTACAATAAACCAGGGGAGAACTGATAGTGACTTGGTTTGGGGTGGTAGAAAGATGGTACATAAAATGGCTAGAGTCTCAAAATATTTTTATATTTTCAAAACAGAATCAACAAGGTTTGCTGTCTTATTGTCTGAGAGAAAGAAAGTAGATAAGGCTATCATAAGGCTTTGTCCCTGAGCAAGTAGAAGACAGGAATGGTTGTTAACAGATAAGCAAGACTGTAGGTGGAGCAGGTTTGGGAAGTAAGAGAGGGAACTCAGTTTTCCACATATTAAATCTGAGGTACCTATGAGATATTAAAGTACAGATGTTCAAATAGGCAGTTAGATGTATGTGTCTGGAGTTATAAATTTAGGAATCATTAGCATACAGGTAATACCTAAAGCTTAAGAGTGGATGGTACAGATAAAGAACATAAAGGCTCAAGCACTGAACCTTGAAGCACAACATTAACAGGTCAAGGAAATGAGAAGAAATCAGAAAAAGAGGATCAATAAAGCAGAAGGAAAACCAGAGGAGTGCTGGTATCCTGAAAGTCTAGTGAAGAAAGTATTTCACATAGACAGGAACAATCACACATGCCAAATGTTAGTGATAGGTCAAACAGGATGAGGTCTAAAAAATAATGTCTGGATTTAACAGAGCAGAAGCTATTACTGACTTCACAAGAGCAGTTTCAGTAGACTGATGAAGGCAAATGCCTGGGTTCAAGTAGAATAGGAAGAAACTAAAGATAGCAAGTACACTCAACTCCTCTGAAGTGTTTCGCTGAAAGAAAAGAGAGAAATTGGTTGGTGTTAGTGGGAGAAATATTGTGAGGGAGAAAATTTTTTAATAAGAATATTTTTATGCTGATGGGAAATATCCATTTAAGAAGGAAAATTTAATGATGCAAAAGAGAAAGAATTATTGGTAGAGTAATGTCATTAAAAGTACAAAAGGAGACGGAATGACCTTTGCTGGGAGCACAGACTATTCTTCCATAGAAGGAAAGAAGTTAGAGTATATGAGAGCAGGTGCATGTGAGGGTCCAGATTTAACAAAAGAGGAAACCAAGGCACAGACTGGGCCAATATCACATACCAAGTAAGTGGCAGAAGTTGGATTTGAACCCAGGAATTGGAACTGAAAGGGATCAAGATCATGGAAACTTATGTCCATGCAAATCTTATCAGTTCGTATAAGTTAAAATACCAGCAGAAGATATAGGTTTAGCAGCGTTCTCCCCCTCCAACTCATAAATTGTCCATAATTCTACCTCTAGTCTCTCTCCATTGCCTCCAAACAAACTTCAGGTGAGGAAAGAAAACTAGAGACTTACCACATTAGCACACCATAACCAAAGGTAAAACACTGAGTTTTGTTGATTAAAAAACATCATCAGCCCTGGCCGGTTTGGCTCAGCGGTTAGAGCGTTGGCCTGGGGTCTAGAGAGACCCAGGTTCGGTTCCTGCTAAGGGCACGTACCTTGGTTGCAGTTTGTCCCCAGCTCTGGTTGGTTGTGCGGGTGGCAGCCACTCGATGTGTCCCTTTCACGTTGATGTTTTCTCTCTCTCTCTCTCTCCCTCCCTCTCCCTCCCACTCTATCTGTACAAAAAATGGAAAAATGTCCTCGGGTGAGGATTAAAAAAAAAAAAAAAATCACCAGAGATTCCTCTATTCACTCCCCCACCTACTTCCATGCCTGTTGACAATCTTAGAACAAAAAGCCCACAAAGTAAACAATGTCCATTTTGAAAAGTAAATTTCTACCTACCTTAGATAATCCTAATAAAAACTCAACTATACATACTTAATTTTGAAGACTTATAACAACTCTAATTATCATATACTGTGAAGGTAGACCAGGCTATTTCTCTGATCTTTTCAAACTTTCCATGATCATATTTTCATATAATTATATTTTCATTTTCATACCCTCCACATACAATAGAAACATAAGAAGAAAGAGAAGAATAACTTTTCTGATTAACAGAAGATAAGAGTCTTTGAAAAATTCTTTATGATAAAAATGACCATAAAAGAATTTTAAACCTGAAGGTATCCTTAAGAAATCTAATCCAAATGCAAATAAGAAAACTGAAGCAATCAAAAAGTAAATGGTGTGTTTGAACCCATACTAGTAATCAGAAGAACCAAACTCCATGATTTCCAAGTTCAGAGTTCTTCATTCAACCAATATCATGCCCAGCTCTATTCTTGATTCATACACTAGTCAAAAAAATAGTCTTCTATCCCTAAGGTCTTAACATGTATGTGCATGACACAGATCAAAAATGGAGAAAACAGGAGATTCCAAAATGATGGTGGAGTGAATGGGAACAACACAGACCATCTCCCAGGAACAAACTGGAATTACAACTAAAATAAAGACAAATCATCAGGAAAAAAAACAACAGAAAAGCAACTGGAGAGGACCCGTATAACCAAGGACAGAAAAAGGACACTAAATCAAGCCCGGTAGGAACTGCAGAGGCACCAAGAGGGTGAGCTGGGAGCCCACAGACAGCAGCTGTTTTAGCTGTGAACAGATCTCTCAAGGTTAAAATCCCAACCTGAATCCACAGCACAGAGGGACAGGACAAAGCACTAAATTAGCTACAGCCACTCACCTTGGGCTTCGGCAGAGGGAAGGTGGACTGGACTGGAACTATGTGGAGAGACTCAGGAACTTGGAGGGCAATGGGAGTTTTGTGCTGATTCACTCCTTCACAGGACAGTAGCCATATTACTCAAAGAGCCCCTTCCCAGAGCCCCAGGGAGAAGCAACAGTCCCTCCCTCAGGAATTTAACACCAGCCTGCCACACCAGACAAATGCAAATTGAGGCTCATTAACAACTAGCAAGCATCTGCCCCACTCCCTGGAAATCCTCTTACCCTGAACACCTAAGGGATTTTTTCATTCATCTGAGGGCTACAAGCCAAAACTCATCAAGTAACTGAGACTAAGAGCCTCCAGGCAAAAAAGCCTAGGGATAACTAAACCTTTCCTCAGCTTGCAAATCTACCCAGAAAAGTAAGACTTGACAGTGGTGTTTAACATGTATCCTCCCACACTTATCCAAACCCAGTAGATGGAGCCTCAACCAGGACAACACCAACACCCACAGGAAAAATTTGGCAGGCTCCAAAACCCACTAAGATAGGCAAAATGGTGAAACAAAGAAACCTATCCCAAATGAAAGAACAAGAGAACTCTACCAAAGAAGAGATAAATAAAATGCAGTTAAGCAAGTTATCAGAGGTAGAGTTCA